TCCAGCCGGTATTCCCGAACGTGTTCCATCTTGATTTTCTGGTAAATCAATACCGATACCGGCACTTGCTTGTTTCAATATCAATTTGTTCTTACTAACGTAAAGGCGAGCTCGAAATGAGTTATAAATACATCGTAGAGCTCGATAGCCACCTCTATTCAAAATATAAGAAGATACATGATTGACAGTTAGAAAGGCATGCTTTAGCTACTATGAACAGTCTTTATTCTATATGGCTGCTGATGTTGTTGTTGATATAACAACGGTTATTCTTAGTGTGATGTTATATACTTTTTAGCTGGATTTCACATTATAACCCAATTATTTGTACAAGAAAGTCGAACGATTCTTTTTCTTACTTTAAACATCCCATTAACATGCCAAACTTAAATGCATGATCAAATTTTGTCATTGAAATATCGGAACTCGTAAATATTGTCTTATAAAATATGAAACAAAATATTATACCCAATAGTACACCCTAAATAGAATGCAATGTTTTAAAATTAAACTTTTGTTGGTTTTCTTTTTAAAGATTTCTTACTTGTATAAATCCAAATAAATTATAAATAAAACAATGTGTGCGATGTTGACAACATAATTGTAAAGCAGACAATTCAGTTTCATAAGCAGGTGGTAAATGTGTCGATGAATGTTCTTTGACAATTTGTTGCTCATGTGAACTAACATAACCTTTTGATTCTAAATCTTTGGAACCTTTTGCAGTTGATTCAAACAAAGCTAAAAGATGGAAAAAAAAATTTATATCAGTTAGAAAAACGGCAGGACTACAGAGTTTTAAGAAATCTCTCTGTACACAGAAATAGGACAACAAAAATCAATAACCTTTTCTGACAATTTCTTTTGGTTAAAAACACTAACGCGCTCACATTTTTACAGTTTTACGTTAGACAATACAGAATCTGTTGAGATTAAGCATATCAGAATTTAATGAATATCTAACTCTCCCAGATGTGTAAAGCTAATCCGGCGGAAAATATAGGCATGGATCGGGAATTTTACTATTAATTTCATGTTTTTTTTCTTCAAAAAGCTTTCTGTATGATAATCTTCTAGAATTGTGGTGCAAACATTTCTCTACAAAATAAGGTATGTAAGCACGTTTCGTCTTGATTGAAAAGTTAGATAAAAAATGTTTACTAGACGCTCTATAGTCAATACTGATACCGACATTGATCAATAGTAGTCTGTGATCAAGGGGAAAACAGCAGAATTTCAAGTAGCTGTGTACTCTCAGACCTACAGAAGCCTGAAGAATCCTATACAAACTTTCCAAAGTTTGAGAAACTGGAGGAAACTCCGAAAGTACAAAAAACAATCGGAAAAAGGACTTAGAATCCGATGAAATCCCGAAAATCTGTAAAAATGACTGAAAATGGGGCTAAGCGGAAAAAATGCGGGAAAATTCAAAAACAGAATTCTTCGGCCTCAGTGGAGTCACGAAGAATACCAAGGAGTCTCCAGGAGTCAAACAAAATTTGAAAAAAATTGATTGCCTGTGAAAGGAAGCCCAGATTACAAAAGTCACAAAATCTGCTGTTTCTCCCTTGTCTATGATTCTTAGTTCAGAAGTTATTGGAGCACAAAGAAAAAGGATGAGGAGTTGGGTCATGTCTCATTCTGTAGAAAAATGTTTGCTCTACAAAACTGAGTCGTCAAACTGGTTTAATATATTTTATTTTGTAATCAATCTAATTGAGAAAAGGGCTAAACTTGGTCAATATCAGTACATGATTAATAGAGACTATTACTCTTGATACTTTAAACTAGCGTTTGTTTGTACTAGACAATTATGTATAATATTATAATCTAAGAGACAAAATCTCCTATCTATTATGCGGCAACATAAGGATAGATGAATAAGGGGGCACTTATTAAAGGAAACCTTGAAACTAGCAGGCTTCAACCAGCAGATCTTCAGAATCTTTTTAAGATACCTTAGTTACTGAGGGGAAAGAAATGGATAAAATAACTTGCCTAGACTCAAAATGCATACATTTTCAAAGATTTACCTTATAAGTCAAGGCGAATCTCTGCACTAGTTTTAATTTCTATAGTATAAATACACAGTAGGATCAGTACTATAAAATCCCTTTACAAATCTCTGTAAGAATTCACATTAAATTATCCTGTTGTATGGAACAATACTCTGAACAAATCTCGGTATATGTAGAGTGATGGCCTAATAATTACATTCCTTTTCTGATTTAAGAAAGGGTTTTTATTAACTTGGATTTTTATAAAAGGTGTAAAACGGAATTGTAGTACCAATTTGAATCTTATTAACAAATAAGATTATAGCTGAGATAAGAACCAATTAAAGTTCCCAAGACGTGATGTTTGTAAAACAAATGTTTTCAGTACTATTGTTCTTACTCGAACGACAAGAAATTTAATGCTAGGATCATTACCTAATAATTCTTTATTAAGTTCATCTGCACGCTCGGCGGGAATACCATGTCCAGCATCATCTAATTTAACTAATTTACATCCAAGTACCTAAAACAGAATATAGTAGAATATATATGTTTTACATCATTGAAGATGAATAAGATCGGTATAGAAATTCACGTACTCTTTGCAACATGTACGAATTTGCCTCTCGCACCAGTCTATCTTCCGTTCCAACAATAATTAAACATGGAAAATTAGAATAACGTATTTTTAATAAATCTGCATAATTAATGTAATGACGTTGAACAGCGAGAATATGTCCAACGACGCCTGTAAGTTTGGGATTAATACGCGATTTAAAACGCGTCGAATGATAATCATAAATAAGCTAAACAAAGAAAAAAAAACATTATTATAAAGTGAAATAATTCAAAAGCATACTTTATGTTTATCTGGATCGGATAGTGTTCGTTTTCCATATAACATAAGCATGGCATTTTCCAATTGTATTTTTTCATTTTTTGTTGATAATGATGTTAGTATATGTCTAATACCTACGAATGGTGCACGCCCTGATATTCCACCAGCATGAGTTGCCACTAACGATAACGATAATATTTTTTCCGGTGCTAATATAGCAAATTCCAATGAAATCATGCCACCCATTGAAACACCTAGAACAATACAGCTCATCGTGTGCATAAAAATTTATCCCAAACTCGTAAATTTTACTATGAAATATAATGTATTAGAAGTTAAAGTAAAATTCTTAAAAAAAAACGAGTCTCAGTTCGTTTTCTAAACAATTATATTTACCTATTACATGACATTGTTTCCATTCTAAATGATTAATTAGATACAATGCATCTTTTGCCATTTGTTGTGTTGTGTATTCAAGTGTAAATGGCGTTGATGAACGTGCACAACCACGATTATCGTAGCTGACTGCCTAAACGTACTATGATCTCATTATATTTTCTCAAATTTATTCAAACAACATTCGTTTTACCTGATATTCGGCATTTTGTCGAAAAAAATCAGTCTAAATTAATATAAAAGAAAATTATTTTTAATCTAAACTTTTTATTTACTAAATAATAAATGAAAAGGATAATTTGTAAAAATGTTTTGTGCAATTGAATGAGTTTTAGTATATATATATAAATAAAAATTGGTAGACGAGAATAAAAAGAAAAACAAATAAACAAATAAAAAACACTAGCTGTATGAGACATGATCTTATGGCAATACGGATTATATAATTACCCATTAATTCAAGAAAGAATAAAAGATAATAGTATCAACACAATTTATACATACATCATTAGCTGAGTTAGTTTGCCAGAGAGTACGAATTACCACTAAATATAAACATATTCGAAGAATACATCATCTACAGCATTTAGCTTATGTCTGTTAAACGTTTTTATATCTTTTATAAATTCTAATGCACTATTGCCGATTGAATAGTTTAGGGAGCATTTCAGAATAGATTCTGATCGACCATTATTCCTCTGTTCCATTCATTATGTCGGTATAGCTATAATAGAATATAATTTAAAACTGTTTTATATATAACTACCTTGCTTTGTAATTACATAAACATATAAGTTGTAAAATCCTTCTCTTCTCTTTATAAATGATGAAGCGATCGATAGAGACGTAATGTTTCTATGTATTTTTTTTCGACTAAATTTCATATTTTTAGCCTATCTGTCAGAATTTTCGAAGAAACTTTTAGTGTTAAGTCTGACTTTCATAGATTGCGAGCGTCTCGCATTCTCACATCCTACATATAAATGCACAAAAAAGGTTGATAAGAAAAATGAACATAACGAATTTTTTTGAGAAAACTCTTTTCTTTATCCGTGGCGGGGTAACCAAGAAGCCAGATCTGTCATCAAGATTAGAACTCTTATGTTGTAAATCCCAAACTGAGATCACCTAGTCAGTCGTAGTCTTTCAAAAAACTGCAAAATTCCAAAATTTACGAAAAATGTAACGCGTTTAGTGAATGTAGCATATCAACACGCAAGAAACGGCGAACTCGAGTCAGATAACACGAAGGAACACGCGAGTAAAGCCTCTATTTCTATGTCAACGTGTGCTTCCTGCGTGTTATTTTCCTTACATCCACAGCTACTTGCGTGTTTGTGCCATAAATTCGCTAAACGCATAAAACTTTTCATAAATTTTGAAATTCTGCAATTTTGAACTGACTATGGTTGACTGGGCAAGAACGCAACATTTTTTCATGCTCTTCCTCTAACACCGTCATAAAAAATGTTGGACAGGAATTTGAAAGATCTCGGTGAAAATGCACAATAGATCCATATACAAAAACGTGTATAAAAAACGCACAAAACATCTCGATTTTCTTTGTCAGTTTCACTCACTTTCATATCGCCTCTTCCGCGCCCCGATTGATCGTATTCAGTTTTTGTATACGAACCCATTGTGCATTTTCACCGAGATCTTTTCTAATTTTATCCAGAAATATTTCGTTTTCATACTTGATCTCATTAATAATGTCACACAGAAAAACAGATTAAAGAAAAAAACTAAATAGTTCAGATGATGAAAAAAAAGTGAAATTTAGTCGAAAATACTAATGCATTCTAAAATATAGAAATATTGCTTGTCTGTCTATTGCTTCATCACTTGTAAAGAGAAGAGAAGGATTTTACAACTTACATATTTACAAAGCAAGGTAGTTATATATAAAACAGTTTTAAATTATATTCTATTATAGCTATACCGACATAATGAACGGAATAGAGGAATAATGGTCGACCAGAATCGATTTTGAAATGCTTCTTTATATTTAAGTGATATATAATCAACTGTAACTGACGTATTGCTAAAAATTGCTTCAAATGCACTAAAAAAAGCTCTTTGAGAAATGTATTTCGAATAGAAAAATGAAGAAATACGAAACAAATTTCCAAATATTTCACAAATTATTTTTGCTCGATTAGTTTAGAAGAAAAGGTACTTTAACCAGGATCATGATAGTGCTCTTACTTGATTTTTCCATGCTTCGCCATCCGTCAATAGTCCCATAATAAATAATAATTTTGTATTTCCATTTCCATGTAATTCATAAAATAATTCGACACTCTGATGAGACGGTGGGAGTTTTAAATATGGCATCTAAAAATATCAATCAAAAATTTACATGTTCTTTTAAAGAATAATGCATAGTTTGTGGCTAAAATTATATATGACACTCATTTTAATAACGAACGCTGTCGTTGACTTTTTTGAATGTTTTTAAAAACAAGATATGTCGATTTGTTGAATAATAATAATAACCAGCATCACGCCAAACTGATCACTATCTTGATATAAATTGTATTATTTTGTATCTTACAAGGACTAATCACACCGTTGTACTGAGAAAACAATGCAATTATGGATGAAAACACACACAAGTAGGTACACACAGAGTTCGAGTCCTACTCGACATATTAGGACTCAATTACTCGACAATGCCAGACACGCCAGTTACTTCTTCTTGTTTTCTAAAATTATTCTATAGGCTACTAAAGTTTTCAAAATCTTTTGGTTTAAGCTTTAATCTTGAACAAGAACAAAGTAGAGAATATATAAATTCCCATTATATCATTCTGAAACTTAAACTGTTAAAGCACAAAATTAATCGTTGCACGAAGCTAGGATCGAACACAGGAACTTCATCGTAGCAGACAAACTACAAAAATCAACTTTGCTGCTCTTTCCGATATTCTGTACAATGATCGTTTAAGTTGTTTTTTTATGTTTAAACGTCAATCATCGCACACACTGAAGGAAACGTTCCATTTCGCATCAAATATGAGCTTACTATAAGATCTTAGAATGCATAATAAGCATGCAAAATAAGCTTGCCAGAGGCTCGGAACCTTATTTGCGATCTCTTAAAAAACTTTGAATACTCAAAGATAGGATTCACAGAACGGATGCACAAAGAAAGATATACAGCTGAAATAAAGTTTATATTCCCATTAAAATAGCATGAGCAATTATAAACTATTCTTGTCTATAGTAAGTTCTCTTGGTTTGTAGAGGCTGGTAATCATAGTTTCTTTATCTTTTCTTTCTTGCTTGTGTGAAAACTTTCAGAACTTTCCTTCGTTAGAAGGAAAAACAAAGTTTTAAGTTGACAGAGGTTTTGAGGGTAAAATCTGTTTTTCTGTTGTCACAACCCATTGAGCAGAAAATATCTAACAACTATTAAACCACGTCTTTAATAAACAGTAAGATCGTCTCACGGATCATCGGATGGACAGATCACGAATGGTATAGTGCCTGCTATGCGTATATCCAGGAAGAAAGTTTTCACATTTTTACTCCCTAGAAGAACGCTGACAAGCTGTTTTTTATCACAAATTATGTTTCAAATATTGAACAACTATCGTAATACAGAAAGAAAAGATCAGTGAGCACACAAACACATACACGTAGATACAAAAACATAAATTATTCTCACATGATAAACACAAAAAAAAAACTTTATATACGAAAAATAATAGCTAATAAAGCACCAGCATATATATATATCTTCACTTGTCATATGTAGAGAAAAAAGTAAAAAAGAAAGCATGTCATTCATTAAACAGATAATATAATCAATCTACAAGTAAATAGTTTATTCTAAAGTAGAATTCGGTGGCAATGAGCGTATCATCGACGATAAAGATGAGTTTTCATGCTCATCATCAAACACTGTCAACGACTTTGTCATTAGGTCTACGTTTTCGAGATTATTCTCAAAAATAAATACTGATGAATCTTTCTTTTTCGTTGGTCGAAATAATTCTGAATCAACACTATGATGAATTGGTAACGAATTTAATTTTGTCTTTTTTATCCTTGGATGTGATAATGAGAGAGATGTTGTTAACGATGATTCTCTAGTGGGTGTTTTACAATCGTATTCTGTTGCTGAATATTTATTATTTAAACGATATAATAATGTTTCATTTTCAAATGTTAATCGACGATTTTCACGTTCCTTTTGTAAAAACATTTGTTCCAATTGATTACGTTGAACGACTGCTTCTCTAAAATAAACGAGAGACTTATATGAAATATACATATGATTAAATAAAAGAATAGAGAACAAAATATAGTAGAAATGTTTCATTTTCTACAATTTCATAGTACAGTTTATCACGACATGTCTACAAGAGATGAGCGAAACGGATTTTTCGAGTCTCATCTTGTCTCCTCGTATTTTCGTTAAAAATCGTGAAAATTTAGTGGCCAACGACGATGATGTTAATAAAAAAATTGATCAGAAGTATAGCAGATGTCGAAGAGAGAATTATTAAAATCATCTGATGAAAACATTTTACTGAACACATGTTGAAAAGAAAGAAAAAAACCTGTGAGAATCAGGGGAAACATAAGTCACCAGAGGCAATTAAAATTTAATAGAAAAATAAAACTCTCTCTGCACTTCGTCTAATCAATTTTTGAGATGTCATTAGTTTTAAATAATAGTCGAGAATGACCGTTTTGCCCATCTCTAATGTCTACCGCTATTCCATTTGACAATGTTTAGTATGGATCTGTGACTGTCATTTTTTTGGCTTACTTTTCAATACCAGCCCGTCTTTGTAATAAACATAATAAATCTTCGTTTCGATTTTCAATAATTTCAATTTTTTTCTGTAATGCTCGTTTATCTTCAAGCTAATAATGAGAAAAATGAGAATAGAATAATATTTTTAAGAAAAAATGTTCATTATATTTACTGCAAATGTTTGTTCATTATATTTAATTCTTATTTGTGCTATTTCTTTGTTTTTCATTTCTACAACTGTTTGTAAACTTTCTCGATCTTTTTCTAATGTTTCAATTTGTTTCATTAATGTATCATTGATATCATTTTTAGATATATTATCCAAATGAGTTTGTAAACGAGATTGTAATAATTGACAACGACGTTCAACTTCCTCCTTTTCATTCTAAACATACAATAGAGAGTAAATATTTTGTGTATTCGATTGATTTTAGCATTACATTTGCTTCTTGTATTTGATTATTCAGACGACCCTCATACTCTAATAGATCATTTTTATGTTTATCTTCTAGTTGTTTAATTTGATGATTATGATGTTCATGTAAGTCATGAGTAATTTTTTCATATAATTCTTTTGTTTCACGCTTTGAATGCTAAAATAACAAAAAAAAAAAATATGTCAGTTAAGTAACAACGCATGAAGTTGATATGTTACTATTAATCGTAGATAAGTAACTTACGTCATGTTGTCGAATTAACTGTTCATTGATATTTCTAACTGAAATAAATAGTAGAAAAACGTTTTTATTAATCGCATAAAAATATATAAGTATTAATAATTACAATGTTGAATATTTTTGGATAACTTGTTTTGGATTCGTTCATTCTGTAAAAATAAATAAGAAAAACCAAATGATATATCTATGTGCTCTGTTATATACATTAGAATTAAAATTCACACCTGATTAAGATAATAATTTGTGAGTACGGTCATGGCGTCAAAAGCCTGTAATAAATTCTTATATTGTACAACACTAATCTCATGTGTTTTTTCCAATGACGTACATAATAAACGTTGACTAAAAGTAGGGAAAAACGTTAAAGTAGTATGTATAAAAAATGATTAGTTATAAACTTACATAATTAACTCGTTTTGTAATGTTTCAATTTTATTTGATGATTGTTGACTAGTTAATGATGAAACAACCAATTTCTGAGTAGTGGCTGTAATAAAGAGAAAAACAATTGGTCGAATAGACGAAAAAAATAGTCTAGAAAATGTGCATCAATTTTAGCTCTATGGTAATATGAAAGTAAAAAAAAAAGAATGTGGAATAAAAGTAGTTGTTAGGCCGAAAAATATTAGTAATTTTCTTTGTACAGTTATAAAAACTGACATCATAGTCTCATAAACCTATCATTTCCTAGCAAGAAAATTGTTTTGTTATGGTAGACAATTTCGATATTCAATCAGAAAAATATCATAATACTTTGAATTAAACAAACAAATCTGACTAACCGTTGAGATGTGACATGTTTAGTTCAAAAAGAGAGTCAACGTATCTCAGTGAATGAATGATACTGTCCTAAATATTCTATCTGTATAGAATAAAAATATTACTCACGATTTACTGATTTTGATGAATGTATTGTATAAGGTCGATGATTTGAGCCATAGATTTTGTTTACCGTTGTGTTTAGAGGTTTTGAAGGTTTATTTACGCTATCCAATACGGTCGAGGGATACGATGAACGGAGTAAAACTAAAAGAAAAAGAATGATGTTCAAAATCATTTAGTTAATAAAGAAATAATTTACCATTTGATGATAATTTTTGTTGATTTTGAGGGGCTAATACTGATGCCGGTGTTAAATCTGAATGACTACTGTGAATAGAATTTGATAACGATGGTGATGTAGAATTGCTTGGAGGAGCTGGTATACTGGAGTCGGTTGAACTTATCGAGTTTGCCACTTCATTTAGATAATTCAGGTTTTTAGAACCGTGTAGATTATCATTTTTGGAATGTATTGAATTGCTTTTTAATCGATAATGAGAAGTATTTTCTTTATTTTGAGTTTTTCCTCCAGCAGTTATTGCTGTAGGAGGTAATGATGGTTTACGCGCAGACAAATGATTACTGGCAACTGGTTTTGCAATTGTTGTTGTTCGCGCATTTGCAATTGTTGGTTTTACAGAACGATTTGTTAGCAATGTATCAACACGTTTGGGTTGATTGTTGTCAAAACCTAAAAATAATAAAAATGAATTATTATTAGTACAATCCAAACTTGTAAACAATTTAAATTACGTTCCTTATAGTCTAATAATAATGCCAGATGAGATCACATGGCATCCGAAAAAATTTGAGATGATGGCATTTCAGTTCGAGTCAAAAACATCATTTTATAGCGTAAAATTTTCAACAAAAGCTGTAGAGATTTAAAAATAAATCTGTGACAGCACAGTGTCCAAACCAGAGAAAAAAAGTTATATTCGTGCACTTAGCACTCAAACACTGTGTAAAGAAATACGACTCATTCATCTATTTGAAGCCAAAATCATCATCCTGTCTCTTCAATGTTTCAGCGACTTTTCTATATTGAAAAAATGATAGAAAAGTAACTGCTTAATGTTGATACATGTACAGTATCGTGTCTTGGAGGTGTGAAAAGATCCTTGTCTTTGATTGAATAGAAGTATTAAAGCTGTAAAATGTGTAAAAAATTGATATCACACAAATACCCTTCATCAGCATTCAGCAACTGCACAATGTACAAAACTTTTCTCTAATCTTTGAAGATCAGTGTATAGTATAATATTATTAATTACGCTAAGTAATTAATCTAATCAATTAATTACCAAACAAGCATGATGATGTCAAAACAATTAAGATCAAATTAGCATCCAATCGGAAAACGGGAGGGACTCACAATCATCTGTTATATAGCAGATATTAATTTATTCAGCTAGAACACAGTACCTGATTATATATTTCTGTCTAGGTGTCACTAGATATACACCGTTTACGGTTAATCGTAACCACGAATAATCTGATCGGTCAAACGGTTGACCGTTGTGACATGCTCATTACACTACTATTTCTGACTTGAAATGAGAACAATGCCATTGATTTATGTCTAAACAAGATTTGTCAGGTTATCAGAATGCATGAAAGATGGCATCTATTGGATGCAAGTGAAAAAATTCCCCTTTATATTATTATTTCTAGTACAAGTGTGACTATGACCATTTTGATATACACACAAAAGACATTGGAAGTTGTATATAGTCGATGCGAAATTTTAGGCTTCTTAAGTAACGAGTTAATCTCTCGACCGGTTATTTACGGTTACGTCTGATGACTGGTGTTTTATCGTTTCTGGGCCTTTTCGGTTAAGATCAAAGTGTAGATTTTTTTCTAACCATAACTGGTGCATATTTAGATGATACATGAATATCATGCGTTATAATCAACTTCATTTTTACAGTTAAACAAAGTATATTTACCTGTTGTATTTTTTTGCCCAACTTTGGTCGCTGCTGTAGCTTGTATTTTTGAAGTATTTGTTTTGTTTTTACCAGATGGTTCTAGCGCACTACCGCTTACTTTTCGTTTATTTAATGCGGATGATTGACTTGTAATTGAAGATGTACGCGATGGTATTGAGAATTCAGCTGATAATAATACATTTGTTTCACCATTCTAAGGATGATAAAATGAAAACTGATCAGTTAATAAACAAAACAAGAAACAATGGACATAAATTCACTTCAGTTTGAGCGATAGTTATTAATCGAAGTATTAGTAATTGTACTATTGTTTGTTCACCATTTAGGCGTGACATCCGGGTTATTAGGCGACCTAGAAGCGATCCATATCACTTCAAAATATAAACATATGTTACGTTATTTGTGGAACTTATTTATATGCTTAAAATTTATAAAAAGTGTTCGCTTCATTCTTAAAATTTCTAGAAAACCTTTTTAAAACTCAAATACTTCTTACTGATTTTTCAACTTTTATTAAAATGCAGTACACTGCACATAAAACAATTTAGATTTTAAAGTGATATGAATCGCTTATGGGTCTCCTAGTAAATCGGATGTCATACCTAAGAGTAAGAATTCCCATTCTGACAAGGCACTTATCTATTCATGGAAAAGAGCAATAGGTTTGTATTTCAACTTAAAAGATATAATCTAGTTTTCTAAAGTTTTCCTAGAAGACATTTTGGAAAAATGATTTTGAGAATTTTTTTATTTACAAGAAGATTCCTCTGTCGAATGGCGAAAATCGCAACTCGATAGCTGCTTGACATCGAAAGTTGTTCAAAACATTATGTATAGCATTCGTTTTCGAAACAACCAATATATTCGATCTTATACTATTAAAAGCTCAAGTTTCACTTCTGTCTATATAAGTAACTATTTTGAACTAAGATTTTTCTCTGTTGTTCAATATTATGGGCTAAAGCTTAAAACGAAAGAAAAAGCCTGTTTATATTCACCTCAGAAGATCATAAGGACGCAAATTAACAGAAAACTGTTTACCTTGGCGATCTGCTCATCATGTGCCACTGATGATTCACGCGATAAATGATTAGATAGTTTTTCTTTTTGTTGGTCTTCATCAACTAGCGGTGGTACTGATAACAGCTTGTTTCTTTCCTCTTTTGAACCATCTTCTGTTGATTTTTCTAATTTTGTTATTAAATCAGACGACGTATTTTTTATATCCTTTGACCGTACAAATGTAATATCATCGTTACTAGCAAATGATACATCGGTTTGAACCCAATTTGTTATACTACGATTTGAACCATTCTAAAATAAAACAAACAACTCCTGATCATTTCGTGTCACTCTCACACCAGACAAATAGCGCAAAACTATGAACAGAAGGTTGTGAGATCATTTTATAACGAGCTAAAACCAACGAAGTTATTCTCGATTTTTAGTAACTATTTGGAATAAACAAAAATATTTCTCCTAAATCGATAACGTTATTCTTTGATAATCATGGATGAAATGTTATCAGTCTCTGAGATTTTAACTAAAAAATCAACGTACCATGACATTTGGATTGATTTCTTCTACCGTTATTGCTTCTGCTTCCTTTTCTTGTTCGCTAACTTTATTTGCTTGCCCTTCGTCTCCATACTCATCATCTTCATCCATATTATCTCCATATTCACTAACCGATTCGATATGTTGATGATGTGTTTGTTGATGTAACTGATTTAATATTAATGATACACTATCAACTAATTCAGATGGTTCAAGTAAAATTGGTGGTGGTTGAGAAATGACAGATGGAGTTAAAACTGGCAATGGTTCAACTACTGGTGTAGCTGCTGTTAACCAGCTATGTGGACCTAGACAAAATAAATATAATCTAAAGATATTTCGTGTTTTATCAATATACATACTCGCATTATCAACAGCATTTGTTAATTCAGATGTGATTAGGGATGTTTGAGATTTATTTAATGGTTTTGTTAGTGGAGTTAGGTGATTATCAACTTCAATGAATACATCGTCGCTATACTCATTCTCACTATTGTGAATGTGAGAAAGTGCATTGCTTTCATCATTTTCTATCAATGGTATGACTGGAACTATTTCACTATCAGTTGGAGTATTCTAAAACATAAATTATTTCAATTTAATTCAAGATAAACTTGCAATTTTTGATCTTTATAACCAATCATTTGAATAAAAACTAATTGTACTAGTATTAATTTATCTCGTGCAACTATTTTTTAAATTCTTACGAGAAAAGGTCTCCAAGTGTGCAATCGCTTTTTGCTTGAACTCTAGTCGACAATAGGCAACTGACTGCGCTAAATCCGAATCTGAAATCGGTTTGTGCTGCTAGGCCTTTAGAGACCGGATTTTTGGAAAATCAGGCTTCCAGAAACTCTAAAAAATAACCCAAACCTTTCTTAATGAGACATGATTGTGGACCGCAAATTTCTAATTAAAATGAGATATCTCCCAGCTCTACACGATCTTTCTTTGCAAAGTTATAGAATTTACACGAAAAGCCCTAAATGTTGATTGTCAGCTCAAAGCTACAGAAATAAGAAATTAATTTAGGGCTTTTCGTGTAAATTCTATAACTCTGTAACGAAAGGTCGTGTAGAGCTGAGAGATATTTTATTTTAATCAGAAATTTGCGGTCCACAATCATGCCTCATTAAGAAAGGTTTTGGTTATTTTTTAGAGTTTCTGAAAATCTGGTTTCCCAGAAACCCGGTCTCTGGAGGTCTAGCAGCACAAACCGATATCAGCTTGGGATTTAGCGTAGTCGATTACCTATTGTCAACCAGAGTTCCAGCAAAAAGCGATTGCACGCTTGGGGACCTTTCCTCGTTAGAGCTAAAATCTTTTACTAAAAATACATACACCAGCTGAAGATGGTGCAATAACAGAAAGAACAGGTGTTGTCATGATTGGATTGTTATTATTATGTAATGTATTTTGTACAATATCTGGCAGTGGTGAGGATATTTGATTTGTTGGCTGCATTGGTTGTGACTGAAGGACTATAGATGGAACAGACGTTGGAATGGAAGTAATTGGTGACGGCATCGTGGATGAACGAACCAAAGTTGCAGGTGCTTTCAAACGACTTATTTGTTGTGGACGAGATGGAATCTAACAAAAAAGTAAGAAAAATATAGCTCGATACATAATGAGGTCTAAAAGATCATTAAATACCTCTTTTTTACCTGGAACTATTTTTTTTTCTGAAAACAATAAAACTGACTATAGTAAAGTTGCATAAAGAAGATTTCAAATTACTACCAGCTGTTGGAGCAACAATTGTCACTTTCTCTAATGGAACGAATACGCCACGATTTTGAGGGCAATTAAAATATCTAAAGAATAATGAATAAAAAAGAAAAAGTAAGAAATATATATTTAATTTTAATTTAGATTTTTTTCATACCGAATATTTTGAACTTCTCCATCATGTTTTCCATCTGGTTCATCTAATTCAATTCCACAAAACTGTCCTTGGGCAAAATGTACAGTGCCCATATAGCGTAATATGCCAGTTTTCAAACCACTTATTTGTACACGACACCCAACAACAAGTCCATTGTTCACTGAACGTGGGCTTAAAACGAAAATAAAATTTTTTATCATAGTTGCATTTCTCATTTGTATTGTTCGTACTTTTCTGATGAATTTGAATTGACAGGCATTGTTTGTACAGGTGATGAATTTGAAGAGACGCTAGAAATTTTACTATTTACTGTTGTACCACTAACAGTTGTACTGGCACACTTGCGCAGTGGCAACAACGATTTCTTTGTTGCAACCTGTAAAGAACACAATGACTAATGCTTTATACCAGTTTTTATACCAAGAACAACATCATCAGCCATATAGAATAAAGACTGTTCGTAGTAGCTAAAGCATTCCTTTCTTAACTAACTGTCAATCATGTATCTTCTTATATTTTGAATAGAGGTGGCTATCGAACTCTACGATGCATTTATAACTCATTTCGAGCTCGTCATCCCCCCCTCGCCATAATAGAAGACCACCTGCTCTTCTATTTTGCCCCGCAAGTCGAGTTCTAAAGGGTAGTCTTGTATTTTTATCGCCTGCTAGTAGTCCAACGGTAACCCCCACGTACTTGAAGTCCATCCTCTATTAGAAGTACGTTTTGGCGAAATTTTTTTCAAAATAGGTATAGGGCATTTTCGAATTTTTTTCGCGGACATAATAGAAGACCACTGGTCTTTTATTTGGCTTTCAAGTCATATAATCGGCAGTAGTCTTCTAATAGGCGATGGTCTTCTATTATGAGGGGGGGAGTGTACGTTAGTAAGAATAAATTGATATTGAAACAAGCAAGTGCCGGTATCGGTATTAATTTACCAGAAAAACAAGATAGAACAGGTTTGGGAATACCGGCTGGG